GCCGCCATCTTGGTTGGCAGTTAATTTGCATATTGCCCTGCATTATGCCAATGGGAAGGGTAGCAGAGGTACGGCTAATTACCATGTTTCTCTTTTATTAGATAGGAATTTATATATATATATATATATATATATATATATATATATATGATTATACTAGTGTCCTAGTGCTCAGATTCATGCACATTGAAAGGAAATTAATTAGAATAAATATTTTAATATCACTATTCGCATCTTGCTAATGAAAAGAAAATAGGGCCCTAGCTGGCTTGGCTCAGTGGATAGAGCATCAGCCTTTGGACTGAAGGGTCCCAGGTTCAATTCTGGTCAAGGGCACATGTCTGGGTTGCGGCTCAATCCCCAGTGCGGGGTGTGCAGGAGGCAGCCAATCAATGATTCCCTCTCATCATTGATGTTTCTATCTCTCTCTCCCTCTCTTCCTCTCTGAAATCAATAAAAAATATATTTTAAAAAAAAAGAAAATAGGATTCTACTGAGTCTCCTATTTACCTATTCCAGGACTTCCGTGAGGATCAAATGAGATGAGCCACGGGAAAACACTTCACAAACATTTGGTTAAACTGTAAAATGTTTGCACCTAGCTATAAAGCAAGTCAGGTTCTTGCGCTGAAGAAACTGCAAGAAGGCTAGTCACTAGGGAGAGGAAGCCAGACGTTGCTACATGACGTCATTACCCGGCACCCACAGCCACTGTTTCTGGGCTGAGCTGGGCTGTGGGCCGCATTTTGCACAATGGGGTCTTGGCAGCATTGGCTGCAATTTGGTGGTGTGTCGCTCTGGGGTGGTGGCGGGGCCTGTGTCCCACTTGGGGGAAGCCGAGTGTTGGTTTGTCGGTGCCAGGTACGTGGTGCCATTTATTTTTAAGTGGCCAATGCACGTCATGGAAACTCCTACATTGAGGGTCTGCCCCCTGGTGGTCAGTGCATGTCATAGTTACCGGTCGGACAGATGGACACTTAGCCTTCTATATATATATAAATAGATGGGTCTCTTTGAGCTCATCTTATTTAGAGTTCCTTGAGCTTTTGGATATTTTTACTCATGTCTTTCATCAAACACGGGAATTTTTAGCTATTATTTCTTCAGATATTCTCTCTTCACCTTTCTCTCTTCTTTTTCTAGAATTTCCACAATACTCATGGTGGTCTGATAAATAGTATTCCACAGGTCACTTAGGCTCTGTATTTTCTTTTCATTCCTCAGACTTGAAATTTCCATTGAACTATATTCAAGTTCATTAAGTCTTTCTTCTACCTGCTCAAATCTTTTTTTTTCATTGTTTTTGTTTTCTTTTTAGGTTCTCTAACTCTGATATTTCCAATATGTTCATACACTGTTTTCTTACCCTCTGTATTCTAGATACTTATGATTAATATCAATATTCCCAAGTGAATAACTTAGGAATTATTTTAGACCCCTCCCTGTAATTTACTAATATTCAGTCAGTCACCAAGCTTGGAAAATTTATCTTTACCCTTCAAGAATCTATCCCTTCATGGCTCTTCCTAGAAGCCTTAGAGCACACACTTCCATTAAAATTACTTCATTACTGCCCTAATTGTCCTATTTGCAACCTGGTCTTTCTCCTATTTATATGCCATACTACTTTCCAAGTGATTTTTTTACTAAATGAAAAAAAATTTTTATTGGTGACTCACAGCTTGTGTTCTTGCATGTTCTACTTATTTCCTCTACTCAGGATGATCTCTACCCAGTCCCCTTTTCACCTATCTAAATCCCCTATGTCCTTCAAAGTTCAATTCTTATATGTCCCTCTCAGAAAAGCTCCTCTCTGCAAAGGAGTATATGAAGGTATACTCCTCTTAATGTGTTAAAAGGCCTTGAACACACACCTTTCAAAAAACGTGATTCTGTAGTAATCACTAATTTATTGGACTATTTTCTGCTAAAGGAGAAGCAATTTGACACCAATAGACATTGATTGTTTGATTTGCATTCTCATCAGCTAGCACATTTATTCATGTTAAAAGTTTTTATCATATACAAATAATTTCTTAAAATTGTATCTAAATAAAAATGCCTATAAACATATATACATAACCAGAATTGTTAGTAAACTTCTTGTGCAAACAGAAATACATAAACAGGAAAAAGTATAAGATAAATACGCCAGCTCTACAAATTCATGTTGCTTTTCCAAAAGAATTTGAGTCATGCATGGGGATCAGAAAGAAAACTCCTATTAAGGTTTCTCTGCATTCAGGAATGTAAAAATTGACAAGATACTCTAGACTGGATTGCTACTGACTATCATACACTTTATTATAAAACCTGTGCCTAATATAACCAGGCTATTAGATACAACAGCATAGTTTAAAAAGGAGAAGGAGCCAGTAGTGACTGTGATGCATCCTTGAAAAATTTTAGTCTTTAATAATTATAAGTAAAAAAAAAAAAAATTGATCACTATAAACCCATTCCTTTTGGTCCTATCACAACACACTGCTCAATTTAAAATAAGTTCTCATAGGATTCTTTCAGGTTTCTGTTGTTGTTATTTATTTGGTTTTATTTCCTGGGGGAGGGGTTATTATGATGTTTATTTCCATAATTAATTATAGTACTAAACTCAAAGGAGCATACATTTCATAAAGACAAAGCTGGACCATCGGAGAGTAAAAATACAATAAGCTGTTTAGAAAAAACATTAAGTAAGAGTTCCAGTTTTGTAATTTGTATGTCATTTTAGCCCTGACCTAAATACAGTAAGTTTGATTTAGTTACAAAATTTTGGTTATAGAAAAACGGTAGTGAAACTAGGGCTTAAGATCCTATCTCCAATTATGACTCAATGTTATGCTGTTCCAGGAACACAGGCTATAAACCTAGATCCAGTAAGCCATCTCAAAATGAATTTTGTTATTCATAGGAAGAACCAAAAAAAACATTTTATGGAATGAAAAAAAAATCACCAGTGTAAAAACAGCAAAACATTAAATGTGAAAGATACACATTCAAATAGTTTAAGAATTGCATTTTTCAAACATACCTTGTCCATTAATTTACTTGCATGAAGACTCAAGCTATTGAAGAATATTTTTTTGCTTAGCAAATGCATTTCTTCAATGGTAGTCAACAATGTGGTAGCACTATTTCCAACAATGCCACTAAAAGCAAAGAACATTTCAGGTTGCAAAACAGGCTAAAACAATTCAGTTATTTAACTGAATTATTTAGAAAGATCTAGATTTAAATAAAAGTTTCTTTTATTACATTTATTGGGGTGACACTGGATAATAGGATTATATGGGTTGCAAATGTACATTTCTATAATACATGAAGTGTATATTGCATTTTGTGCCCACCACCCAAAGTCAAATAGAAAAAATATAAGTTTTTATATAGAAGATTGATAATGATGTAAAAATTTACATCACTAACTATGAATTAAAACCAATTACTCTGGTATCACATAAAAATGACAGTTTGGTGTGTGTGTTTTTCATTTTGAGTTAGATAATGAAGAAATGAAAACAAAGTACTATATTTTTAATACTTCACAATCTCTTTCAAAAAAACAGTGTGTTAGAACAAACTCATAATATGCAAACCTGTACTTCTATTTTTCCACTACTAAAATAAATGCATGTCTTGTTTATCTAAGAATATATAATTTTAATTGTAGGAAAACCATTCCATCAATAGCTCTACTGATAGAACATTTAAATTTTATTAATACTGAGTTTTCCTTGAATTAAAATTGTTATACCATATCAGTAACACACCTATAAATGATACTTTTTTTTCAAAATTTATAAAGCTACCTAAGTAGCAGATATATATTTAGACTAATTATGAGTAATGTGATATTTTAAAATAATCAGCCCATCTGTAATTCTCAATTTGCCATTACAAGGATATGTCTTTAGACCCATCCAAAGGGGTTTCCCATTTTTCCCAGGATATAAGACAATCATGTATATAAGAAAATTCCCAATTTGATTTTCCTAATTTGTGTACTGAAAGTGATTTTAAAATTTGTTTTTAGGGGAAAAGGGTTTTGTTGATGCAAAAATATACTGTAATCCGCAGGAAATAATTTCCACAGGCAAAATAACATATTACTTACTATACTAAAAATTGTTTTAGATTGCTAAAAATACATATAATGGTATTAATAACAGTAAATAATAAGCAAAAAATACAGCAAATTGACTGAGAACTGACATACTGCATATGCTATAAGAGTAAACACTAATCCTATCTAATAAAAGAGAAATATGGTAATTAGCGTACGACCGCTACCCTTCCCATTGGCTAATCAGGGCGATATGCAAATTAACTGCCAACCAAGATGGCGGCGGGCAGCCAGGCAGCTGAGAACAGGATGCTTGGTTGCCCCAGCGATAGAGGAAACCAAGGTTCCCGCTTGCAGCTGCGGGGCTCTGAGCTCCTCAAGCAACAGCTCCAAAAGATACAATGTTTCAATTATAGAAGCTAAGAGATGGCGGTTAATCTGCATACTCAGGCTCCAAGCGGTAGAGCGAAGCCAAACAGCCCTGAAGCCACAGAGCAGAGAGGCCTCACTGCCCGGGGATCAGCGGAGCCGAGAGGCCTCCCGGCCCAGGGATCAGCGGAGCCGAGAGGCCTCAGGGCCCCGGGATCAGCAGAGCCGAGATGCATCCCGGTCCCGGGATCAGCGGAGCCTGATGGAAGCCCTGTGTGTTTATGCACCCTGGGGGTTCAGAGGTCCTGTCCTAGGCAGAGGCCTATGGCGAAATTTCCGGCTCTGAGAAGCAGCCTGGGGGCTGGAAGGCGGCTCCTCTGACCTCAGTGCTGGAGAAGACCATTAAGCAGAAAACTAAAGAAACCGATTTTACATCATTTCCCAGGTGGAGAACAGTTGGCATGTAAGCCCCTGACCAGTGCCCAGCCTCTCCTCTATCAGTCTATCTCACTCTTAGGTACCATGTTCTTTGTTCTGTCTTAACTGCAACTCATTTTTAAACTAGATTGCTTTTAAAAGAAGACTAAATAAAGTTTCCCTTAAGTTATTTAGGTGGTGCTGGGGCTGCTGGGGCTGCTGGGGGCCTGATAGAAGACACAAACACGCAACCGGGGGCCTGTACCCAGCAGCCCCAAGGCCCGCCACCTTGGTGCTGGGGCTGCTGGGGGTATCAGAGACACAAACCCGCAGGCCCGGCACCCAGCAGACCCAAGGCCTTCGTGGAAGCACTAAGGAGCAGCAAGCCAAGCAGTAGGAAGCAGCAAGCAGGTGGGCAGTAACAAGGGAGGGGTCCCGGACTGCAAGAGGGCACATGCTGAGCTAAGGGACCCCCCCACCCATCCCCAGTGCACGAATTTCGTGCACCGGGCCTCTAGTACTATATATTTTAATATATTCTGAAATGAAAATATATTGGGACAAATTCCTATACAGTTAATGGAGACAAAGCAAATTATCAATTTAAAATATATAAGCAGAAAAGTAAAAGCAGATTCCGTTAAACAGGGAAACATAATAGTAGTACTTTTTGAAAATTAAAGTATCTCAGTTAAAAATATTATAAGCTAAACACCAAAATAAACTGGAATTCCCACATATGCCTATCCATATGATAAAAATAAATATGCCTCTTAAAAGTATAATACATCAAGTGAAGAGGAAAGAAAACTAAATGGATACAAGAAGAAATTGACATTTTAGTGAAAAATTTAGAGCAAGAACAAGATATATTTACATCATTTATTTTAAAAAACTTGAGTTATCAGCCATATTTTGCAGTTACTCAGATCTAGAATTTACTAATGTTTACTAAGTAATCACTAGACATCAGTAACCAGACCAGCTACTTGTAGATGCTTTTCTGTTTTTGTTTTTCCTTTAGGCTCCCTGCCTGAATTTATTTGGATTCAGAGGCCACTTTCCATTGAGCCTACTCTGGTTTCTTTAAAGCCATGAATACAAAGCTAATCCTTATTATCATGACCTCTCAATCATTATCTAGCTTGTCATATTCTGAAGACCAATTCATGGTTTCTAATCACTCTCTTTTTCTCTTTTCTTTTTTTTATTTCCTTCCTCCCTCTCTCCCTCCCTCCCTTCCCTTTTCCTTTTTCCTTATTTTAAAAGTACAGTTGACCTATAATATTATATTAGTTTCAGGGGTACAATATAGGGATTCAACATTTATATACCTTATCTTTTGGTATTTCACTTCATATTTCTACCCAATTTGCTCATACTCCTATTACTTAATTTTTCAATGTTAGGTATTACATACAAATTCCCTGATATAGAAGACAAGAGCTAAATTCTATTATACAATGCTCCTCCTCCACCTCAATACATCAAACTTCATCTTTTCCAGGCTTCCTAATTGTTATATCATAGCACTCTAGTAAATAAATATTCAATGTTTCATTATTACAAGCATGTAAATACTATTCAGAGCTGACCAAGGAATCAGGGAATCCAACACAAGAGAACGAGCAGGCTTGTGAGAAGACAAATCCCAGGGTAATATCCATGTAGTAGCCTAGAGAGCAACTAGTTTAAACTGGAGAAGTAGAATGGGGGCTCTGAAAGGGATGTGGGGAAGAGAAGAGAGGAGGTAAATTGGGTGTTCTTGAATATATGGTAGAAAATGCAGTCTACTTAATAGTTTAGGTCTAAAATAGTGGTAAGGACATAGAAAAGTAAGCAAGTATAAAACCAAGCAATTATTAACTACAGAAAGAAAAAGTTTTACCAGAAAGAAAACGCAATCAAAGTATACTGGATTTCCTGTTTCCTGGATTCCAAATCTTCCCTTTTTTGGTTTACTCCTGCATTGTGATGGAATCTATATCCTCCAGTAGTTTTAATGTACAGGAGAAAAAAATTTTTTGGGACTTGCATTATCTCCTATTTTTCCCCAACTTCAGTGCCTATTCCTTCCCAGTTTTCTTTGGGGGTTTCTTCTCTTCTTAACCACTAAATAAATAAATATTACAAGCATGTAACTATTCAGAGCTGACCTCATCTAGTTCACAGATATGTCCTACTGGCTATAACTGGCTATCTCCAAAACCAACTACTTTTCACCATCTCCAAGACTATCACAACTGCTTCCTAAATGCCTTCTTTGTCCCCCTTTTGCCCCACCACATTACATTATCCACAGAGTACCCAGAGTCAAATTAATCATAAATCAGCTCAAGTCTTTCAAAACTCTCCCACATCTTCCCCAACCCACTCAGTATAAAAATCTAAAACCCTTGGAGAAAAAATGGTGACCAAATAGGCAGACATGTCATGCACCTCATCCAGGGGACAGGTGGAAATATAACTAAATCAAAAAACAACCAACTGGAATTAACAAACTAAGCACAGCTGAGGAGACAAGCTACAAAAAGGAAGGGCAGAAAACACCTAGAGACCAGTAGGAAGAACAGGACATGGGTTTGAGAGGGCTGGCAGGCCGAGAGGTAGAGGAAGAAGCTGCATTACGGGAGTGCCAGCTCCCTCAGGAAAATAGAAGCCCTGCCCAGGCTAAGCACCAAAGCTGCATCCCTTGGCAACAGGCTTAACAGTCAACTGTGTAAAGAAGCAACAGAGCTGCTGGCTACCATGATGCCATGAGGGGAAAACAGCAAGGTGCTGTGGGGAGAAAAAGCCGTGGTTTCCTTCTTGTTTTTGGTTTGTTTTGTCTTTGTTTTTCCTCTCTAATCCCAGAACATAGGACTTTTCAATTGTGCACACTCACCTGAGGCTGGAGCTCACAGAGGCAGGCACAGACTCAAGGTGCCTGAGGGGAGGCTGAGGAGGGAAGCAGGGCAGGGAGACATTGGCCAGGAGCCCTGCATCTGGTCTTAAGCGTCCAAACTTAAGCGGCCATTTTCCCCCAGAGAAGCTAGCCCCTCCCAATAGCCTCAGGTGATATAGCCTGCCACACCCTTCATTCCAAGCTTTGCAGGGGTCCTTAAACTACAGCCCCGCGGGCCACATGCAAATACAAATATTGTATTTGTTCCCGTTTTGTTTTTTTACTTCAAAATAAGATATGTACAGTGTGCATAGGAATTTGTTCATAGTTTTTTTTTTAAACTAGAGTCCGGCCCTCCAACGGTCTGAGGGACAGTGAACTGGCCCCCTGTTTAAAAAGTTTGAGGACCCCTGCTTTAG